GGCAGAGCTACATCTTTGCAAATAATTCAGCAGGAAGGAATTCTGCCATGAAGCTACTTCTTTAGCCAGGCTCACCGTTCCTGTAGTTGAACTAGAACACAAACATACAACTTTAGACAATAACTTTATAGGGGATTTTTAAAAATCTTAATTTCTTTTTTTCCCTCAACGTACTAGACAAGGCTCCACTTCATCCCATTTCTACAAAAAGTAAAAACTAAAATCATAAACAAAAAGGTAACAATAACAGAACAAGCCCAAAGAGACTGACACAGAATCTGTGCTGAGAAAAGTTCTGCCTCAGCATTACCTAAAAAATCCGCATCCCTCTCTAACAAACTGTTCCAGGCCGAACGCTGCTTTTATGTTGTCATGGGTCTCAAGAAGCCAGCAGGTAGACCTTCTTTTACTCCTGAATTTCTTCTCCAGAACTTAACAGCATTTTAGTGGTATCAGAAAAGATAAGAGGCATTCGACCTTCATTAGTACGCAGAGGTAGAGAGAAGGCAAGTTTTGTTACCCTCGTTTCACACCTGGGATGTCTGAGGCACTGAGCGATGAGAAGAGGCTCATTGGTGGAAGCCACTGCAAATAAAATCCAGATCTCCTGTTTCCTCGGTGCTTCGGTCCCTGTTCCCAAAATCACAGACTTGCATTACCAAAATGGCGGAAGTATCCTGCTGAGGAATCCTGCAAGATGAAAGCTCCCATGGGCTCTCGCTCCTTCTAGTCTTTCTCTAATCTGAGCCAAACCTGGATCTGCGGAGTTGCTGGATACACTGTCAACTGCAGCAGGAAGAATCTGTTTAGAAGGACACAAATCTATATATTTTATATTTATATATTCAGATATCTTTTTACCATCTCTTCCTGGAGATGCTCTTCATCTCTTAGAAATGACTATATTAAATGGATGTGGGGCTGAAGTTAGACCAAATTTTCCAGTCAGGATGGGCTTCTCAGAATCCTTAGGCAAAGCGAAAGTGAAGCTCTGCATCAGGCTCACAAACATGAGGAATAATTCCATCTTTGCCAGCTGTTCTCCCATACACACCCGCTTCCCTAAAAACGAGGTCAGAAAAAAATCAAGGAATTAGACCACCATCCCTTTTCCTACTTCAAAAAGTACAGATTTATATGAAACATCTACACTGAGTATTTTAAATGCAGATGCAGAGTTTAAAAATAAAATTGCCACCCATACCACACAGCCTCCACGGCATGTGCTGATCGGACTTTTCACGTACTACGTTCACATTTTAATTCCTACTCATAGCAGCCTATCCTCCTCCTAGCCAGGAACCAGAGACAGCTCCAATGTGGCAGCCCCCCTGTCTCTTCCATGCCTGGTTATCTCTCTCCTTAACTCCCACCTGGAAGATTGGGGGTGGTAGTGGGGAAGTCAGGTAAGAATCTCTAGAGCCTTCCTTTTTCCACAGAAAGAATCCCATGTTCCTAATCTAGGAACCTAAAAGAGGAACTACTGAGATTAGAGAACCCACCCTCTTACCCACCAGGCCAGCAGGCCAGAAGTTGCTCTTAACTCCAATAGTTCCCTGGGACCCAAACAATCACCTGGACAGCTTGGTGACCAGAAAGGAAGATTTCTAGTCATATTTAAAGATTTAAAACCAGCTGCTTTCATTTTATTTTTAAAATCTAAAATGAACTTGGTAGATATGCATTATCTAAATTATTTATCTCTTCTCTTAACATCAGCTTGCCAAGAAATATTTTAAAAACAACAACACGAAATAAGATTCTTTTAGTTCTACTTCTTTTATAAATTATGCCATTAAAAAAGAGAAGTTTAACTGACCTATCCCAAAAGGAATAAAGGTTTCTTTTTTAATAAGTTGTCCTTGGTCATCCAGAAATCGATGAGGGCAGAAATCCTCTGGCTTCTCCCAAATGGCTGGGTCTCTGTGTATCGACCACAAGTTGGGTAGGATCACTGTGCCTTTAGGAATGGTATACCCTTGGAGCACTACGACAGACAAACACACACAAAACACAGCATCACTCAACATGCTTTCACTAATAGTGCTCCCTAAATATCACTATCTAAAGAAAAGTAGTTATGTACCCAGCATCCTAATGGGCTGAGGCTAAACTCTGAGGTACTCGAGTTAAGATCTTACCACCTAGCGCCCTTCTCTGCACGCTGTCCCAGGCTCCAGCCTGAGACAGGGCACGGGAGGGCTTCACTGGATGTTGAATTAATGAACGAAACCAGACCATAAACACATTACAGTTGAAACACTGCAACAGAAGCAACAGGGCATTCCAAATAAACTTTCCCTAAGAATTACAAATTCCTAATATTTGTATAAAACCCAACAGTTTATAGTCATTTATGTCCATACAACAATGTGATGAGGAAGATAAACTAAGACGAAGGGATGTACACGGAAGTCACCCCTGGCTTTCACCAAGTGACAAGTTCAATATCCACTCAATATCCAATGCTCAAAAGACACTGTACTCAGAGTGCCTCTGATTTGCACCAAAAAAACTGTTACGTGATCGAGTGTCATTTATAAGCAACTGCCTCCCGTAACTGTCTTATTAACATACGTAGATCTAGCCCATTCTATTACGGGCTGTCTCCAGAAGAGGTGAATTCCTTGGTAACAGGGATATTTGAAGACAGTCTGGCCATGCCCAAATAATACACCTGTTTCACTGGAGGTGAGAGGTTGAAACAGGTGACCCTAGAATCAGATGGGCTCTTCTAATGCTTTAACATTTATGCTATGACGGCAGAATTTTAAAAATTTAAGATAATTTCCAACTAAAATGCTTAATTCCACATTTAGACTCGCTCTTCCCCCCTCCATGAAAAGGACCGAGAAGTGCCTTTGTCGATTCCAGCGTTTTCTTCCCGCCAGCAGGGCTGACCGGAACTGCAGCATTGTTTGTTCTGCCAGTGTCAGCGTGTCTGCTGTGAAGGCCAGAGCGCTGTTAATAAAACTAAGCAGCGCTGGCACGCCAGCAAACTAACCACGGACAACCGAGGGCTGAAACACCCCCTGGACGTTTCTTTACCGCCAACACGTGCCAAGCGCACAGAAGGATCGAGCTGGACGATGGTCACCACACCCCTCACGTCAACTCCACCGGATCAGGGGCTGTGCTTCCCTCAGGGCCACTCAAGCAGGAAGACCCGGGACTTGCCTGTGTTCTCCGAGGTCCTGTGAGGAATGGCAAGCGGCACCACCACGCTCAGCCTCTGCACCTCCATGATGGTGGCTTCAGTATAAGGCATCCGGGCCTTGTCTGTGAGGGAAGGGGCTCGGTTGGGACCAATGACCCTTTCGATTTCTTCATGAACCTTTTCTACACAAAAAGGAAAGAATGAACGAGAAGATAAGCCCAGGAGAGAGTGGGGCCTGCCCTCCTGTGCGTACTTCCCAGCGCCACCTACACACAACTGGTAAGCTGGCAGCACGGCCTGATTCTGCCCCAGGGAATGGAGCCTTGGCCAGGCCGTCCGCGTAGAGACAGCGACCCCAGGGAGACCATGCCACCCCGCGACTTTGAAGGAGGATCGCAGAATACTCTGGATGCAAGAGCACCCTCAATAATAGTCTCGTATGAGCATGGACTGACTCCCTAAGCTGACTGTGACAACGTGTGATAGTTCAGGACGGCCCTCAATTATCCCCACTCTCGGGGTTCATATGCTTGTGCAGTCCCCTCCCACTTTGTTCCAAGTTGGTCTATGTGACCAACAGAATAAGGCAGAAGTAAAGGCACGTCACTTCTGAGATTAGGTTACAGAACATCCTCATCTTTGCCACTCACTCTCTCTGAGGTCACTTGCTTTGTGGAAAGGTCAGAGCGGTAAGGAACTGCGGCCTGGCCGACAGTCCTGTGGATGGCCATCTCACAAACGGATCCCCCGGTCCCAGTCAGATCTATAGATGACCGCAGCCCCTGCCAACGTACTGACAACAACTTCATGAGAAACCCTAAACTGAAACAACCAAGGTAAACCAACCCCGGAACCCCGAACCTCAAAAAACAAGGGAAAACAAAAAAGGGGGTTTTTTTAAAGCTGCTAAATTTTGGGCTAATTTGTTACTCAGCAATAGCTGACTGATACAGGTAGGCAGAATAACGGCCCCTCCAAGATGTCCACACCCTTAATCCTCTGTGACGTGTAAATACGATACCTTACACTGCAAAAGGGACTGTGCTGGCGTGATTAAATGAAGGACCTAGAGAAGGAGAGACTAGCAAGCTGTGCCCATCTAAGTTCATGGGCTTTACCATCAGAGAACATCCCATCGTCAGAGGGAGATGTAATCACAGAAGAATGGTCAGAGATGCACCATTGCTCACTTCGGAGATGGAGGAAGGAGGCCAGGAGCCCAGGAAGCTGGAAGCAGCAGGGAAATGCACTCTCCTCTAGAGCCTCCAGAAAGGAATGCAGCCCTGCCAACATCTTGATTTTTAGCTCAGTGAGACACTTAGCAGACTTCTAATGTGTACGACTATAAGATAACAAATTTGTGCTATTTTAAGCCATTACATTTGCGGTAGTTTGTTATATCAGCAAAGAAACTACCACCCCATCCTTCCCTGTGTTCTTCCGCTGTGAACTGCCACTCACACTCACTGTCTATTGGTGCTAAGGCGGTGGAACTAGCCGTGACCTTGTGGAAGTCACACAACTTCCCTGGGTCTCTGTTTTCCATTTTCAAAACAAGATGAATGGGTTCAGATGAGCATTATGATTCCCTTCAGCTCTAGAATATTCTTCTCTAAAGCTCTTTCAGCATCACAGATTTCACAGAATCAGACTGTAGGGATTAAAGCAGGAATAGGCAAGTTACGCCATTAGTCCTGCCGTCTAGAAACTTGGGGTTTCACGGTTAATACCGTGCCAACTCCCTAGGAGATGCAAGTATTTGTGTTTTTTTTGTTTGTTTGTTTGTTTTGAGACAGAGTCTCACTCTGTTGCCCAGGCTAGAGTGCCGTGGCGTCATCCCAGCTCACAGCAACCTCAGACTCCTGGGCTCAAGCGATCCTCCTGCCTCAGCCTCCTGGGTAGCTGGGACTACAGGCGGGCGCCACCATGCCCGGCTAATTTTTTCTATATATTTTTAGATGTCCAATTGATTTCTTTCTAATTTTAGTAGAGACGGGTCTCGCTCTTGCTCAGGCTGGTTTCGAACTCCTGAGCTCCAACAATCCTCCTGCCTCGGCCTCCCAGAGAGCTAGGATTACAGGCAAGTATTTGTTTTGTTTTCCAGCCTGAAGACACTGCTTAGTGCGAGGAGCCACCAGATCACTGACGTTGTTAATCCTGATTTAAATAACCTAGTTGTGCCACGAATACAGGAAACATCTATTAATTACCTTGTACACTGGGGTTCACTGACATATACAGCAGGCACCAAAGCAAAGAGTTAGTTGTGGTATCAGTCCCAGCAATGAAGAGATCTCCAATGATATAAAATAAGTACTCTTCGTCGAAACTGCTGTTGCTGTTATTTTTCCTCTCCTCTTCCATGTGGAGAAGGTACATGTCTATGAAGTCCTGAGGGTTCTCTCCATTCAGACGCTCTTGATGCTCTTTGATGATTTTCTTAAGGAAACTGGTTATATCCTTTTCAATTTGTCTTAATTCCTTAAATGGTCCAAAGGGAAGGTAATAAAGCCAGGAGCATATGTTGACCAGCTGGAGCTGGCTGTTCAGGCAGATTTCTAACCCTCGTGACATAAAACCAAGCAGTTTCTTAAACTCGCTATTGGCGTAATCAAAGCGCCGGCCGAAGCACAGGGAGCAGATGATGTTAGAGACGGCATTGCTGACGAGGGCAGAAGGACAGAAGGGCTCTTCTCCGTGCTTCTGCATTTCCTCTTTCACATATCGGAACTCCTCAATAATCTTGGGCTCCAAGCTAAGCTTTCCCAACCCAAAATGACGAAGAGTTGAATGAGAGAACTTCCTCTGTTGTCTCCACACTGGTCCATAACGGGCAAACACAACCCCTGCAAAGGGACACCAGGAAAGGAAGGTGAGAGAGAACATTCCAGATACTACTGAACAGGACCCACCATGACATGGATTCTGTATTTGTCAAGTCTCTTATGTAAAGTTCACACACAGATGAAGACCACTCGTCAAGAAGAATGATTAGCAAAATTTAGTTATCAATGAAATATGTTTCTAATAACAAAAATCATATCCAATTAAAGTAGGAGAATTTGCTATAAAGCTTATTATTATGGATAGTAATGCCTGGTGAAATGAAAAGCCCTGGGTTTCCAAAGGTAGTGGGCATTCCGACGTATATTTCATGAGAGTGAATCCAGGCTTAGAAGATACTTCAGGCTAGGTACACCCATATTCTGAACGCTCACATTCTGAACATTCTGAACCAAAGTATAGTAACAGATCGACATAAAGGCAGAGACCATACTGATGGAGCTCACCATTAAAATCCCAGCTTCTGGCATAGTGCTAGCACACAAGATGAGGCTGTTAAGTATTAGCTGACTAAATAAACAGCCTAACTGGATTAGAATCATTGGCCGTCAAAGTTTGGAATCTAATTACTGGCAGGTAATCTAAAATGTCCGTTGTTGGCAACAGCCCTGATTAAAAATCTGAACTCATTAAAGTCGTTCACAATACATCTTATTAAATTCTCTCTTCTACATCTCACATCTACAGCATCAAAGCCAACGAAACTGCTCCTCGATGTTCATCAAATTGTTCTCAAATATGCCTTGTTTCCTGTCACCTATTTCACCATCCTGTTTTCCATGGCGTGCTTTATCATTTCAGGCAGTTCTCCTTCCTTCACATATCATTTCTGAATTCTTACACTGTGCCAGGCACTGGGGTGCAGTGGATACAACTGCAGATGAAACGACCTTGCTCAGTGGTCCAGTGTTCTCACACTCTTTAATACCTCTGTAAAAATGTCTTTCAATATAAACATCCATGTGGTCAAGCATGGATCACACAATTTATCAGTTTCATTTTCCTCCTTGGAATTCTCCAAGCATCTGCTCAAATCTGCAGTGGTTACTCTCTTGGGCTTTTGTTCAGGTCCTTTGACTTCCATTTGTCAGCATTTAGGAATTTTCTTAGACTGCTCTGTGCTGGAAGCTATTTCCCGGATTCTTTGTCTTCCTCTTTCTTGTGTTACTCCCTCATTTTGCTGAAGCACATCCTGTAGTAGTTTCGGAAAAAGGATGCATGGGAGGCAAATTTCTATCTTGCATGTCTGAATATGTATTTATTCTACCATTGGACTTCCTCAGAATTTTGAAGACATTGCTAAGAATGGACTGATGAGTTGCAAAATATGTACATCTTCAACATAACTAGACATTGCCAAATTACTCTCCAAAGTGGACAGCACACCAAAAGTATAACCACTAGAAGAAACACATAAATGTTCTCATTTGTTCCAAATAGCTGCCACCACTTGGTACTTGTCAATGTTTTTATTTTTTGCCAATCAGAAGTCTGAAATGTATCTCATCTAGTTTTTATTTGCATTTCTCTGATTCTTACCATGGGTCAGAGCAGCTTTTCATCTGGTTATTGGCCAGGTTTCCTATTCTGTAATTTGTACTTATCTACTACGTAATTTTCTTTTTCTTATATATTCTAGATACATAGCAGATTTCTTCTCTCATCATGTGAATTGTTTTTTCACTTTTTAAATGGTACTATTTGATAAACAAATTTTAAATCCAAAGATAGTTGGATTATTCAATCTTTTTCTTTATGATTTGTGCTGCATGTCTTATTTCAGAAATCTCTTCCTACCATGAGTTCATAAACACATTCTCTATTTTCTTGTGAAATTTTTAAATTTTGCTTTTTCTATAATCTACCGAGAACTTATATTTTTGTTAGGTATTTCTACCTCTGGTGAGGTAGGAATCCAAATACTTTTTCCCCATTTAGATAACCTATTGTTCAAGCATGATTTATCAAATGCCATCTCCCGACCCCTGCCATCTGTAAT